GTTATGGTCATTTCAGTATGAGGCGTATGTGTCTTAAAATAGTCAGGTATGCTGGGAGGTGAATGGTGAGTAGGGAGGTGAATGGTGATACACAAGCTTGCTCAGTGATAGAAGTTGCCATGCATCTTCCACAGCTCTTGAACTGCCATCCCTGCTTTGTGCTTGTTCAGAAATAGCTGTGTGGTTCTTTGACTGGGAAACAACCTGTTGTGCTGAAACGAGGCCTGCTTTGGGCAGGGGTTTGATGTACAGAGGTGTTTCCAACTCAGGGTTGTTTTTTCCATAATTGCTGCCTGTAGGTTTCCGTGTCCCTGGGCTCTCAGGAGTCAGTGGTGCTGGCTCGGGGGGCTCAGGTGCATCATGGGCTGGTCATTTTCAGTACATGTGGATATCAAACCCTTCAGTTCTGGCTAGTCAGTTTTATATCATTCTCCCTAGGTATTTGGGGCCTATGTCAGTTTCTTGTGTAGCTTTCCTGTTGTCATTTATCTGATGGAGGGTGAAAGGAGTAGCTTTGGCAAGTGGCTTGGAAGTTTGTCAGTCTATTATGGTGTCAGTGGTGTGAGCAGGCTGGTTCTGGAGTGGGAGCAGTGTCAGTAGTGCTTCTGGCAGTTCATGTCTGGGAAACACTTCCTTACCTTTGTTACTGTGTGGGTGAGCCAGGTCATTATTTTGGTTGTGGTGCTTTCCCATTGGAATCCAGGTGTGTAGTGTCCTAACCCTCCTGCTGGATGGGAAGCCAGTTAATTCAGGGTTTTAGGCAACTCTGAGCGGAATGATGTAAGTAGTGCATGGGCAATCAAGAGCAAATGTAGTTTCAGATGGGCTGCCTGTGTTTATGGCTGGAACAACCAGAACTCTTGTCATCCCACTTGGAAGTGGCTTTCTCGGTTGGAAGGTGGATGCCTGTGTATATTTAGAAACCTTTGTCAGCTTCCATTAGGCTTGCACTGGTGCTTGTTGGCATGAGTGCTATTCACAACAAAGAATGGATGCTCTCCAGCATTAAGAAGTGGACTCTGAGGAGAGCTGAGGGCAGTATGGACCCTAGACAATGCCTCTGCTGGGCCCTGGAAATGCAGGCACAAAATGCAGGCACAAAAATCGGTTTGATTGCTGAGTAACAGGCCTGTGCCCTGAAGGACTTGTATGCTGCAGCTTATTTGGAACAAACTGTATAGACAAACCAGAACAAACTGTTTGTGCTGGAAGAAACCAAATTAGCAGTGACCTGCAGCTTCTTGCATGTATCAAATGATTTGGAGCAGGTGGTACAATTGGGTTTTTAAGGAGGAGATGGAAACTTGAGTTCTTCTTGTGTCAACTCTTACCTCTGTGCAGTTGAAATGTGGAGTAGGGGATAGTGATGAGTAACTGTGGGATGTAGAAAGGGTGTGTAGAGGCTGGGATTTGGGAAATGTGTGGATGAAATCTGCATTACATAGAAGAGCCTTTGCCTTGTCTATCAATAATACCATGGGGATAATCTCACTGTGATGGAAAGGATTGATGTGGGAAGATGATGTGGAAGGGACAGACTGTGTAGGAAAGCAGTTAAGCAGTGGCCAAGAGTGAGTAACAGTGCAGAGATGGTTTTGAATATTTTTCTTTTAAAAAGCTGGAAGATGTCCTCCTCCTAGAAAAGGGATTGCAGAGATGACTTTTGCAGCAATTGGCTGGTTAACAGGCTGAAAAACCAGAGATAATTGGTGAAATGCCTTTGAGTGGTTTAGCTGAAAGCATCAGATAGGGAACAGTTGGCAGAGCAGGAAACTTACTGTCACTGATGGCAGAAAGATTTAATTGGTTGCTGGCACAGCTTCAGATATTGTGGACATGATGGGGAAATGTCGCTTCCAAGCTTGCAGTGAGAATTGGCTTCAGTTATTGATACCTAGAGCTGTGTTACACTGATTTTCAGCATTCAGTTTGAATTGTGGGGTTTGCTATGCATGCTTCAGGTGTCTCACTATCAGGTAAGACTTAAACTGCTTATTTGCATGTTTTTAGTGCCAGGCCATGGTGTTAGTGTTTAGTTAATAAACCTCTTGTTTGACTTCATCCATGCTGTTTCAGCATGAAAAGGAGAGCTGCAGTCTGTCAGACCTCATACTCACTGAAAATCAGCTGTGCTTCCTGTGATGCCACAGTTGGATAAAGAGTGCCTCTAATCTCTGTGTCCCTGAGCTATCAGAGCCCTTTGGCCCCAACTGGGACCTTACAGCAAATGTCCCTTGTCAGGAAGCCTTGCTTATCTCTTGCTGTGTGAAAGTGTCCTGTTGATAGATAGGAAGTGTCAACAGGCAGGACTTGTTTAATCTCCAGTTGCACTGATGGGAGGGCAGTGTGCAGGTATTGCAGGGAGTTATTAGGAAAGGTCACTGGCTCTGGGGTGGCAAATGGCTCATGGCACTCAGCTGAAGTGCTGCCATCTGCTCAGGTGTCCAGGCAGACCCTGTTGGTTCTGTAGTCACTTGCTTGCAGCAGAAATGATCCACTCTGGGGTCACATTTATCTTCCTAATTGTTTTAGCCACAAATTTCTTTTTCTGTGTTTTCCCTAACTGTAGTTTGTGTGGATCCCTGTGATTCTCTCATAATGCTGACACATATCTGTTGCTTCCAGCCAACTATGATGAATTATACCAGTGGTCAGTGGAGTCCTACTCAGACTTCTGGGCAGAATTCTGGAAGTTCAGTAACATCATCTGCTCTCGCCTCTACGATGAGGTAAGTTCAGTGCTTATCTCACAGCAAGTGTAGCACAAAGAGGAAATAAACTGATGTTACAATCAGCCTTTTGACCTCTTCTTGGAACTCTGGGAAGTGATACAAGGAATTGGCCCAGTCCTGGCTTTCCTGGTGTGGTGGATGGTGCTGTTCTGTTGCTGGCACACTTTAGGGCAGTGAAACCCTCGAGTTTTGTTGTCCTGAACAGTTCTGCAGTGTCCTTGTGCTCTTGCACACCTTGTCATTTCTGGCTGCTTGTGGGGAGTCTGCCAATGCTCTGCCTTAGGGAATATCATCCTGGTTTTGTACATGCTGGCATTCTGTCAAGTCCATGTTTGCCTTCCCTGAGTCAGCTTACCTGACAAGCACAAGTGTTACACTCTGGCTTTGTAGAACTGGTTGTGGAGGCTCTGCAGTCAGGTGCAGGCTTGAAATATCTCTGGGGAAATGGTGGTGGTTGGACACAGGCACGGGTGGAACAGCAGGCAGTGCCACAGAGTTCCTGTGGAACAAAGGTGACTCTGCAGCTCTTGCCAGTGGAGCCTTTGCATTGCCCTGGTGTAGGATATCCACATCCCCCTGTGCTTTTCCATCTGAGGGAGATGTTGGGCTAATTACTAGAGCAGCTTGATGGAGTGGAACCTTCCTGGCCTTTGGTAGGGAGGCCTGGACTTGTCTTAATGCCTGGAGTCCCTGTGTTCCAGAGCCCTCAGTACTGGCAGTCCTGCAGAGGGGACTGGCAAGTTTCTTTTGACTTGTCCTGTTTTACTGATTTCTGTACTGATAGGGTAGATCAAGTGGTTCTTCCTGCCATGGGGCTGTGTGCTCAGGTGTCTCATTTACTGTGGCCCACCCTTCAGAACAGTGAATGCAGCAAGAGTGTAAGAGCTAGCCTGCTTTGGGGGGTGTGGTCTGAGCCTTATCAGCACTTAAACTTTACATTTTCTATAGAGGCTAACTCAAACCGTGGGAACTGTCAGAGTAGCTGAGCTGGTCTCTGCTACCTGGAAGGATGAAAAGTTTGATTTGGAGTCTTGCAGCTTGATCCTGGCTGTGTGCTGGAAGTAAACATTGTTTTGTGGTGACTAAAATTTTTAATGAAACAGAGTTGACTCTTTTGTTCCCAAGCAGTGAAACAGCCTCTACTTCCACAGGTCATCCTAAGGAAAACAATAAAACCTTGTGTACACAGAGTAAAAGCAGCCAGGATTTAATGTAATCCTGGTAAAGGTTCTGAGTGACATCCGTGTCCCCTGTGACATGAGCAGAGGAACTGAGTGTGCAGAGCTGGGCTGGCACTGCAGTGTCACTCCAGGCAGCTGCTGTGAGTGAGGGCTGTGTGTGAATGAGCAGCCCCTGACTGTTGGTGCTGTGCAGGGGCTCTCAGGGAGGGATCAGCTTGTTCATCTCACAGAGCCCCAAAGACTGAGCTGAACTGGGACTCACTGGTGTTACCTGTGCTGGTACTGGCTGTGGCTCCAGCTCCCTGTGCTAGTGCAGCTCCTAGGAACTCTGTGAAGGATTGTTTCCCCTTCAGAAAAACACAGTTATTTTGGATCTTGTCCTGGAAAACGTTGGAAACATTCTGCTCACTTTTCTTCAAGCTGAGGAAGTCAGAAATGAGTCAGTTTTGAGAGCAGCTTCTAATTGCTGCAGTAATGTGTGTTAGTATACAAATAATTTGTGCAGCCTGAGTTGATGTAGATGTTATAACTCAGTTCTTGCCAATTGTTAGGAGCAGAGAAATCTGAGCTCCCTTTTTTAGAAAATACATTTGAAATAAAATAATGCAGTAGTGCACTGAACATGAGTTTTAACTTAAAAGTTAATTTTAAGATTGCCTCCAGTAATACATACACTGCTCTCAAAGCAAAAACCTTTGGGTTTTCTGGAGTGGGATGTATTTTGGGGCTTGCTTGGCTTTCAGAAGAGCCTTTCACTTGGGCTGGAGGAATGCTGTTCCTGTAATGTATGTGCAATCCATGGGAGAGAACCTGAGGGTATAAACTGAAGCTTTCAAAAACACAGCTGTAAAATAAAGTTTCTATTTAAAGATTTCCAAAGAAATGTGCTGCTGAGCAGCTGAATGAGAAGCAGAGGGACATTTTGGGAAGAATTTAGACCTTGGGCTGATGCTGAGGGGCTCAGTGTTATTAAAGTTAGCCTTACCTGTGATTTATGAGGGGGTTTAATACTTTGAGCCTTAATTAGTTCAGGAAGGGGGAAGTTATTTCAGCTGACTATATATTATTATTTTTCATTGTATTTTTCAGTTCCTTGCATGTCTTAGTCCTAAGTGGGGAGTTAATACAGGTTTATTATGTTGTTGGATCCTGTTAATTCTCAAAAATTAAGAACTTGGATAAAAAGCTGGAACTCTTCAGTTACATTTGACTCTACAATGAATTCTTTTGAATTCCCATTGTGTGACTCCTGCTGTTGGTGGGGCAGGGTGGATGCTCACAGCCCCCAAACAAGGGGGCAGGATGGCCTGGCACAGTTCAGATGTGCTGTAGCTCAGTTGGGGTTCCCAGGGGCAAACCCCCAGTGTCCCTGAGCTCTGTGTGCAGCTCCTGCTCTGGGTGTAGTCACAGTGGTTTGTTTTACTTGTGTGTTAAAGGCTGGTCCAAAGGTAGAACTGTCAGCAGGGAACTTTCCCTGGTTTTGTTGTAATGACGTGTTTGCATGTGACAGTTGACAAATAATTAAACTTTCCAGGCCTCTAATTACAGGATCAGTGTCTGTTTGCCATCTGTGAGCTGGGAGAAGTGATTCTTGCCTAACAGGGTCTGCAGAGAGCTTGGAGCTGCTGAGCTGACTTGTGTAGAGTGCTGTGAAAATGCAATTTTGTTTGAGCTGCCAGCAATGATGGTGTGTCTCTTTTAGGTGGTGGATACAGCCAAAAGCATCGCAGAGATCCCTGAGTGGTTCAAGGGCAGCCGCCTGAACTATGCAGAGAATCTGCTGAAGCACAAGGACAATGACAAGATTGCTCTGTATGCTGCAAGTAAGGAACACCAATGCCTTGTGTTTCTCTGCTGCTCACAGGGCTAGGCCTGATGAAACATGGAAATAAACTGCTTTGGATGGGGAGAGAAAAAAGGGTGATAAAGTCAGTGCCACTGCACAGTCTGTGATACAGGTCTGCAGAAAAACCCAGCAAAACATGCTCTGGGAATATAGATCTGGAAAATCCTGTCCAAGCTAAATGAAGTTTTATTAGAGGTAGTGGAGGTCATGCTGTGCTTACCATCACTCAGTATTTGAAGTATTATTTCACATTTGTCATAATTGCTTGGTTTGACATGTGGTTACTGTCCTGTAGGTCTTTTTGTTAGGAAGTCATGAGGTGTATCAGAAACTGCTTTGTCACATAATCACAGGTGGTGACAGCAAAAGGAGCAGAACTATTTCCTAGTTGATCATTGTATGAATGCTGGAATGAGCAGTTGGCTCCTCTGTGGTGAGCAGAATTCCACCTGCATCTCTTTTGTGACCTTCTGCTGTGTTTAATCTTCTTAAGGCCTCTTAAGTCAGAGTATTTCTTGGTAACTCTGTGCTGCTAGGTCAGAGTGGTGGCTGGGGGGCCTGGCTCAGGTTTGTGTTCGCTGGGGATGGCTCTGTGGGAGCTCTGGGGATGGCACAGGGCATAGGAGTGTCAATGTAACTTTGCTAAACAGTTTCACTTGTCCCTGGCTCCCATGGTGAGTCTTTTTTGTGATTCCCTTCTCCTGGGGCTTTAATCATGGAGCAGGATCAGTTCTCATTTCCTGTTGCTCTGTGGGAGCCCAGGCTCTGCTTGCAGTCCCTGCTCAGTGTATGAGCAGGGGCTTGGGCTGTTCTGCATCATGAGCTGCTCCCTTGCTTTGTGCAAGTCCAGATTTACTGCTGTGAAGGTCTGAGAAGGCAGAAGAGTGAAAAATGCCATTCCCTGCTTAAGGCAATGAGTGAGGGCAGCTGTTCTGAAAGGAGCAGGGTGTGCAGCTCACCTTTCCTGTGCCATCCTTGGTGTGTGTGTGTGTTCTTCGTGGCAAGGGCTGGGTGGTGGAGGTAGGACAGCAGTCACACTGAGGAGGTGCAGGAAGGGACTTGAGGGTGACAGATTTTTGCTTTCATAACGTTTAGGTTGGTTTGTTTTGTTTCACGAGTGATTTATTAAGGGCTTATGTAACACCTGACATTCAGTACAATAGGGAAAACACCCTGCAGATCCTTTCAGAGGGGAGTTGAGTTCAGTTTAGTTTGTTTGCTTTGTGCTACATTGGCAGAGGCAGATGTTCCAAAAGCACAGCAAAAGTCAGGCCTGGATGTGCATCATTTTCTAGTCACTGACTTAGTGTAATAAAACCTGAACTTGTGCTGCTTCCTAGACCTGATGAGAAAACTGAGCAGAAAGGTAAAATGAGGTTCTTATGTTGAAAATTAGCCTTGGTGAGTGCAATCTATTTACCATGAATCCCCCTTGAGAGCACACCTTTCTCCATGAATAGTTTGTTTCTGCAGTGTGTTTATCTTTAGAAATGCCCTCATACCTACTGAACAAACACCACTGATTAATACTTGACTCCCATTAAAAAGAAGAGCTTTTGGTGCAGCTTAAGAGCAACTTCATAAGCAAAAATATAAATATTTAGTGGAAGCTGTTCTCTTAGAATTGATTTGTACTAGGATTGGTTGTTTGTGCTAGACTCACATTGCAATGCCTGATTTCTGACTGATTGCTTTACTTTCCTCAGGGGAAGGCAAAGAAGAAATCCTCAAAGTTACTTTTGAAGAACTGAGACAAGCTGTAGCTTTGTATGCTGCAGCCATGAGGAAGATGGGAGTAAAAGTAGGAGACAGAGTTGTGGGTGAGTAATTTTTTAAGGGGCAGGAGGTGGAATTTTATTTGAAATGTGCAAGTGAGTAGTCAGTTACAGAAACATGGCTGTGAAATAGTGTTTCAGAGAAAATTTCAATAAACATTGTAAAGAAAAGGATCTTGTGCTGCTGTATTTACATTTGTAGGAAATGCATTTCTAGAGGGAAGGAGCCTGGACTAGCCCGTGGGTTCTGTAGCACTGAAGGGGGAAGGAAAATGCTTCATTCACCAAGGTCTGCTCCAGAAACACTCTGAGGAAGCAGAGGAGGTGCAAGCTGTGCCTCTGGCTGAGCCTTGATCACAGGCTCTGGCAGGTTGATGTGGGGCAGTCGGGGAAATGCTGGTCCAGGGCTGTTTGTCCTGGTGCCCCTGGCAGTTCCTGAGCCTGTGGCCCCAGGTGCCCCAGTGCTCGGGGAGCTGCAGGTCTGGAGAGCCTGTCCTGCCCCCAGAGTGGGCACAGTGAGCAGCTGCTGGGCCAGAGCTCCTCAAGTCACCAGTGCAGAGATGGGTTAACCCCTGAGATGCTTTCTGCAGCTCTCAACATCTTCTGCAGCACTGTTTCCTGTCAAGAGACTGTCATGTGTGGTTTTCTGTACAAACAGGTTTTTGTGCTGTGAACAGCGTGTGCAGTGTGCAGTCCAGGCTTGGAATGGAGTTCCATTGATTTCTGAATTGCTGGGTTTCATCTCCCAGCTGAGCTGCTTCACCTCTATTTTGTGTGCTCTGATATCATTAATTTGTTGGTGTAGTGCAGGTCAGAGCTGCAATATCCTTGAAGCTCCTTGGCTCCTACCTGGCAGCTGTGGGGTTTGTGCCATTGTGAATCCCATGTTCCTTGAGCAACACTTGGCCATTATCCTAAAGAAGTGTGTGTAAATTCTTACATGATGCAAACCCACAGTGATGAAACTGATTTGTTTTCTGCATGCTGCAAACTTTAACATGTCTTGAAAACTAAATTTTAAACCCACAACTATGACCTGGAAGTGTACATCTCCTCAGTAGAACTCATTTCTTGCATATGGTATGAGTATGCTTGGAACTGGAAACATGAAATTATCTCAGCTGGTGGCTTGGTTTTTAACATGGAATTAGAGCTAAATCCTTAATTAGGTATGAACCATACAGTGAAGTTGGGAAGGTTTGTCTGAATGAAGATGGAGTTGCTTGAATTTTATCTCAATTTTCTCTTTTAATGCTGTATTATCTGTTCATTTCTTCAGCAGCAGGGAAAATGTACTCAGCAGCTGGAGAAAACCTGGTCTTGAGATATTGCTGTAGTCTGTGCTGCTAATAATGCTGTTATAATTTTACTAACAGTTCCTTTTAGTTAATGACTGTCTTGTTTAGCACTGCAGGCTGGCTGATTTTTGAATTTTTTGTTTTGGTGGCTGCCTTACCTCTTGTTTAAATTAAAAAGCATAGTTGATAGTATTTTTCAAGTATTAATAAAGTCACTTTAGATACTTCTGTGGGGGTCTCAATTTCTCTGCTATCCCAGAGGATATTGGCAGTCACTGGAAGAGCTCGAGTGTAACATTTCAGTCAGAGGCCGAAGCTTCCCAAGCTGAGTTGGGCAAGAGACATTAAGTGTTGGGTGGGGAAGCTGGAGTCCTACACCCACTTGCAGTATCAAAAATCAGGCTCTCCAGAACTTGCCAGAATCCACGGGGATGTAATTTGTCCCAAAACTTAGAGCAGATGGCAGAGGGAAAGGCAATTCTTGCTGTTGCATTGTAGTAACACAGGGCATGCTTCTGCTGCTTCTGAAAAATCAGGTTTTAAATGGAAAGGAGCTACTCTATGAACTTCATTACAGCTGCCTAACATGCAGTCAGCCTGTCAGGTTCTGACACCCTTTGTTGACACTTTCTCTTCAAATCTGAGCTGTGTGAATTACACATGACTCTTACTGTTGTTTTCCTGTGAGTTTCATCTCCACGCTTTGCTGCCTCTAAGACAAGGCTGCTTTAACTTCTCATTACGCTTAACATCCCCCCTGGTTTGTTCAGTGCAATTTCTGCTTGCATCATGACAGTAATAGCATGTTGGAGCTGGAGGTGGGTGAGTGTGGGTGGACAGGCTCTGGTGTCAGCACTTTTTTCAGCTTCATTTCATTCCAGTCTTCCCTCTCATTCACTGAGAGCACTTAACAGTGAACATAATCGAAGCAGATGTGTTGTGAAACATATTTCTTCCTCTGAAGATGTCTTGCAGTGCTGTCAGTGATGCTTGAACAGTAGGAAGAGGCTTGGAATACCTACTGCAAGCTCCCAGAGCCACATGTGAGGTGCTCCTGGTCTCCCAGTGGCCATCTGGCAAATGAGAATGACTAAAATAAGAACAAAACACAACTGGGAGGATATTTCTCCTCTCTGGATTGCTTCCACTCCATCCTTGTAGCCAGCTTTGCTCTGTTACAAGTCAGCAGTTGGAAACAATCTGATCTTCCCCACACAAAAACATCCTTTGTTGGAGATTTTCTCAGGGATGGCTTGGAAGGCAGCTGTGGGGGACAGGTTCTCACAGCCTGTTTCTGTGAACAGCAGAGGTTCTCAGGTTGTTTTTAATTACAAGTAAAAGTGACAAACATGAAGGCCTTGAGAACCTTGCATACCAGGGTTCTCAGGCAGCTTTCTCATAACAAGTGGATGTTCTATCTTTGGCTGTTTTGGGAAAGCAAAAATAATTTCGAGAACCCAAATCTTGGTATTGGAAACATAAGGAGGAGTTGGTATGTTATCTCTGACCTGTTGTGAGCTCAGATTTTGCAATATGCATGAAGTGAATTAACACGGTTATAAAAAGTGACTGATTGATGAATAAACTGGAGTTGATGCTGATCAATGCAAGGTGGGTCTTCTCCCTCCATCTTCAATAATCCTCAACAAATATCAATGAGTTACATTGTCTAAAGCTGCTGTTTTATCTATAGCAACTGCATTAGCCCTGCTGCTGACGTGGGTTGTAAAGCTTTGTAAGGAGATTACAGGGTGCTGATGGCTTCAGGCCACTGTCCTGTTGGGCAGGGTGGCCACTTGAAGGTCCTGCAGGAGCAGAAATGCTGAAAAGGGAAAATAGGAGTCTGGTCTCTGAATTCTGTTCAGTTTGAGAGCTGGTGCAGTTCAGTAATAGAAGATATTGAGAAGATATTTTAGTTGCTGCTCTCTATTTTCCTTCTTCCTGATGTGTTCTTTCAAGGCTCAGACAAAACCTTTGATGCAGGGTCCCAGTTCAATTGTTGATTTTTTTTTTTTTCCTCCATGCACAAAACTGAATGTTTGGGTGCCTGTTTTTCCAAGAGGAAACTTTTGTTAAACTTCATGAAGGCATTAGGTGCTTGCACAGAATGTGTTCTCAGCACTCTGAGAAATCAGACTTTTGCCATAGTTTTCAGAATAATTATATCCAATTTTTGGATACAGTTTTTACCTATTCTGTTGGTAAGGTGCTGCAGTGTAGATGAACACATGTAAGAGTAATCTTGGTGTGTGCTAGATTAAGCAAATAGCAACTGACAGAAAATGCTGAGGCACTTAGTCCTGAGCAGATCAGGCTGTAAGTGCCTCTTAAAAAAATCCAGACAGTGTTTTGAAAATGCTGCTTGTCCTGCTGGGAGATTCCACAGGTTTTATGTCAGGTAAAGCTTTCATTTCTCTGTTTTTATGGAGACCATACATTTTTCTAAGTCAGGAGGAGTGCTGCTGGGACCCATGTGTGTAATACTCTGATATTCCTGCTTGATGAGTTCCCAGCTCCTGGGTTTTGAGCCCTTTATTCAGTTGCTTTCCAGTTCACCCAAAGGAAGATCTTTTTCTTTCTGGTAACAGAAGGTAGTTTCTGCCCTTCTTACCACCTTCAAGAAAGGACTAAGGGAAGATTCAGAGATAAATACCTTCTGTAGCCTTCCCCATGCTGACAAATCCTAGTTTTGATCCTTATTTGAAATACTATATAAAGGAACATGGAGGCCCTAGTTAAATATATGAGCAAACATAAATATTTAAACCAGCAGCACCGTTATTCCTCTGTAATACAGAGCTTTTTGTACAGTGGTCACTGCTCTGATGCTAATCCAGACGAAGAAGTTGCTTTTTTCATCCTCTTTGTCTGCAACATTCCTGTTTGTTCAGTTTTAGACCCTGAGGGGTGTGTGGTATCTCCAGGGGCACAGACAAATGCAGGGAGCTTTCCATGCATGGAGTTGTTGTGAGCAGCTGGAGAATCTCAGATGTGGCAGGAAGAAAAAATTAACTTCACTTCTAAATGAGAATCCAGTATTAATCTGAAAGACTGGCAGAAGTAGTTTGTGTCATTTAGCTGCTGAGAGAAAAGGAGCACGAGTTCTTCCTCTGCTGTGTTTGGAGCATCTCCAGCCAGAACAGACCCATATTTTTATTCTGGTGGAGTTGGGATAAATCTGTGAGAGCCCAGAGAGCAGCAGGGCTCTGGGAGCAGGTGAGGGCACAGAAATGCAGAGTCAGCTGCTGAGCATGGTTTGTGCCTTTGGGCACTTGTGGCTGGCATCCTCCTCAACTCAACCACACTCCCAGCCAGCTGCCAGATGAAAGCAGTGATTTCATTGTGTGCCTCACAATGATCAGCAGAGAGCTGAGATCTTGCCTTGAGGGCTTCTGTGTGGAGGTGAGAGGGAGAATTGCTTAGAACAGAAGTGAAGCTTGTGGCAAAGGAACAACTGCTCCAAAGCACAGGCAGAGATCTCTGCTTTCCTTGCCCTCTGGCCCCCTGAGGATCCCATCCAAGAAATGCTCAGGAAATATTTGGCATCTGTTAAAGAACTGCTTTCGTCACACAGAATGATGTTTTGGTCTGTTCTGGTTCATAGATTTCAAATTATTTAGGCAGGAATATTTGTCTTACGAGAAACATCACTGAGATTTTGGGATACTGTGCCTTGTATAAGCCTTGACCCCAAGGGGAAAATAGCAAAATAAATAATGCTTTTATGGGCATGAGGTTTGGTGCATTTATGTGCTGAAGAACTTCACTGGACAAACCACTATAAGCTGTAGGCAGTTCTAGGGAGCAATTTATACCTTAGCATGGCATGAAGCTTTTATTCACAGTTGTGTTTTCCAGAAATTGTTTGGCTTAAGTCATAATGCTGTTTTAAAAGTTACTGCTCCCAAAAGCACAGCAGCTCTCAGTAACTGCAGTGGCACTGCTGGTTAAGAAACTGATTTTTCAATGAGGAAGAATCTCAGTTTAAGACTTGGAAGTTCACTTTTTACAAAGTTGAAAAAGGATGGATTTTTTTTTTTCAATAAATGTAGAAAAACCTCACAAAAATCCATCTTGGTACCCCCTAACTGCAATATTAAACATAGCAGAAATTGCTGTTAAGATCTGAGTTCCTGTCCTGCAATGTGCATCCATAAATATCCTTCTTTGAGAAGTTTGCACTGCTGAGTGTGTGCTGGCTGTAGATCCTTGTGGTGCACCTGCAGCCCGAGATCTCAGTGCCCACCCCTGCTGTTGAGCAGGTTGGAAAGCATTTTTATTGCCATTTAACTTTAGCTTTCAAATGTGAAATTCTAATTATGTGTCAGAGTACTGCAATTAGGCCCATCCTGTGCTTTTTTTCAAGTACTTGGGCATCTTTTTGGTTGCTTAAGAAAGGTGATCTGAAACTCCAGGTCTTTGGCCCATCTCAGTGTAGTTTGTGGATTCCAGTTGCACTTTTCCATTTGTGGGCTGGATTCTGAGCAGTGCAGAGTCAGACTCAGGCACCCAGCCCCTTCTGGAGAGTTGCTCAAATTGAGCTCACTGAACTAAAATCTGACTTTCTTGACATTAATTTATTCTGTATGCCGTGATAAATTGAATTTAAATCTTGAAATCTTGCTGCAAGCTAATGAGAGAAACCTGAAGAGCCGCATTTGTGTGGGAATGTTCCAGGGCTTGTCCCACTCTGTTATTCCCTTATCAGCTGAGACACTGGTTTTGCTTGTTTGTGTTTAAGATTCTGGCAGTGTCTACCAGCCAGCATTTAGCTTTGTGAAGCTGAATCTCTGCTCTTGAGCTATTTATAATCTTTCCTTACAGATACTGGTGTTCTCTCTGATGGCTGTTCCTGCAGACTTGTTCTGTGCCCTGCATGCTGCTGTGTTCTCAGTCTCTGTACCCTAATCAATGCATGAATTTTCTCTCCCAGTTACTCTTTTCTCTGTGCTGCCCTCTTATTCTGAAAGGCTTAGTAATTAAGCAGGAACACTTGTAAATTGGGAGTAATATTGAGATAAAAACCCAGATACAAATAGTTCTATAAATGAATTTATTACTAATTCCTTGTGTAACTGATTTGGCTTCGAGGTACGACATTGATTGTGTGGAAAACTTCAAAGGGTGCTTCAGTCTAGATTTTTGATTTTTAAAGCCTGTTCACTGTACATATTATATATTTGTAGTGCTGTTCCACTCTAACCATTCCCCTCTGCCCTAGGTTACTTGCCCAACAGCATCCACGCAGTGGAGGCCATGCTGGCAGCTGCGAGCATCGGTGCCATCTGGAGCTCCACCTCCCCAGACTTTGGCATTAACGTGAGTAGCCCAGAGCCTGTGCAGAGCAGCCCTTGCTGAGCCCCACACCAGCGTGGGGATGATGAATTCAGGTGGCAGATGGCTTCTGTCCCTTCAGCCTTGCTGCCACCTCCTGGCACAGCCCAGCACTCAGAGCTTTTCCTGCTGCTGTCACTGCTGATCTGGGTGATTTGAGTGCCTTTAGCTGCTCCCTGTTGGGATATTTTCACATTCACTCCATGTCTTGGTGAGCTTTTATCATATTAAATGTGCAAATGAGCAGCAGAGTTATCTGAGCTTGGCTCTTCTTCCCAGACCCTGCCCCAGGCAGCCTCACTCCAATTTCCACACTCAGGTTCTTTGCCCAGGTAGTTCCATCCTTTGCCTCCTGTCAGGGTGAGCTCAGCACCGCCCTGCTGGGTCTGTTCCACAAGGCTCTATTTGCCAACAGTGAGGAGTTTCATACTAATATCACTAACCTGATTAACTCTTTTTAGTGTAGAAATAAATGCTGTGTGTGAAATTATGACATCCAAACAGATGTGCCCTGGAAGCTTTGGGAATGTATTCTGCTTCTTTTGGAAAGTTTTTTGCACACATCAACAATGCATCTAAACTTCTAAGGGGGGTATTAAACCTTTTTTCTGTCTAAAAGTTTACATCTGAAAAATGTAGTGGTTTTGAATTGCACAGTGCAAAGAACAATGTTTTTAGATAAACCCCTCAATTTCAGTGTTTAACCCCAGTGTCTGGGAAATGTATGGAATAATCATTCCTGGATTAGCACTAGAGGGCAGCAGCATTCCATGTTCTTACACTTGGGGGTGTATCATTGGGAAAAATGATTAAAAAAATCATTACAGCATGTAATGATCAATCTGTTCTACAAATATTTTCTGCTTGCTCAGACAATGATGGTATGGAGTATTTTGTGCAATGTGATTCGATCTCTTATCTGGGGGAAGATTGCTCACTTTGCTTGCATTACAAAGGGCTGGTGTGTTTTGTTGCCACATTGGTGTGCTGTTGTTTTCAGTGCCCAGCTTTTAGTTTTTTGTGATAGCTTTTTAATGGAACTTGGCCTTGGAGCTACTGCACCATCAATACCATTTATTTTCCTTTGGCAGCGTGTGTTGGCATGAATTCAAATCCTAAAATCATGAAGGAGATCAGCAGAGGCCCTCAGAGACATTGCCTTCCACCCTGAGCAAAAGCTATTCCTCTTTCTGTGAAGTTGCATCATTCCTGTTAATATACACCAAGATTTTTGTGCTTGGGGGAATAGTGTAGCATTTCCAACATCTGAAGTCCAATTGTGTGTATGTGTTTTGTGCAGCTCAGAAATGTCACTCCTCAGAGCTGCCTACACACTGCAGGCTCTGAATGCCATCCCTCCAAAGGCTTCCAGCCTTGAGGAAGTTGCTGTCAGAGCACCACTGAGCTGCCTCCCACGCACCTCAGCACTCTTGGCAGCTGCTGCTTCATCTCTCTGCTCCCTGCTACCCATTCCCATCAATTAATGGCAAAGTGCTGGCCTGGGCATGAGAAATGGTTGGATTTGGAACTTCAGCCTTTGGTGAGCTCAGTGCAGCTCCATTTGGGGGCCCTGCACAATTTTTTGGACTGAACTGGAATAGAATGAGCCATGTCTGCTGCACCTGAGCTTTTTGTGGAAGGAATTCCTTGCTGAGCCATCTGGTTGGGTTGGAGTTGCAGTGTAGCAATTACGTGTTCCATCTGTCTGTGTTGCCTTTGTGGCAGAGCAGGCTGCCCTGAGGGATTTGGTGCTGCCAGTGCTAATGAATCTGACTGGGTGTGTTAGCAGCTTTGCTGGGACCCCGAGAGCTGGAGCCATCTCTCTTCTGATTCACACTTCTCTTCAGATTTGACTCTTCTCTGTAGAGTCCCCTTAGTGCTCATTGGTCTGAATTTTTAAACACCAGCATGATGGAAATGGATGTGTGTGCCCTGCACACGTGTACAAATGCACACAAGTGTGGCTGCTTGATCTGTTCCTGGGAATGGAGCACAGGAGGAGGCAGAGAATTTACCAAAAAAACAGGAAATCTGACTTCATACTCCCTTAGAGAATAACTGTAATGTATTAATTATAAATCTCCATTTCTGAGTTTGTTAGGTAACACGCCAGGGGCTTCTTGAAATCATCTTCTGTCACCAGAACAGATTCTGGTGATTTTTTGTTTTTAGTTGAGAAATTTGAATTCCAGTGCATTGTCACTATATTTTCTTATTAATGTAAACAAGAAAATGCATGTTTGATAGGAGGGAAAGTGTTAAATGACATTCTCAGCTAATACATTTATAATTAGCCATATCCCTTACCTGTGCTTTCCTGTAGCATGGAGGAATTGTCAGGACAGAACTCCTGTCCATTTGCAGCAGATTTTTTTGCAATGCTGAGCAGCCCAGCTTGGAAAGGAGTTGAACAGAGATGAGTTGATCGTGATGTTTTTGCTTTCATCTTCAGATTTGGTAATAATGTTTCTCATTTTGGCTGCAATGTACAGGGCAAAATAGAAAACAGAAAAATAAAGAATACTGGGAAGAATAAGGAGATGACTCAAGTCTGATTTCTGCAACATGATTTAGGAGATTGTTCTTGAAGACTTGCTGACAATTTTACAGTATTGTGTAATCTTGTACTTCTTAATGCTTCAAGTAATGGAGCTAGAGAGGTTTGAACATCAGTGTGCTGAGAGCTTTTATTGAAAGGGTTTGCTTCTTGCTGTTGAATACAAAAAGATCCCTTTCTGGTAGGCTGCTGCATGCAGTGTACATGGAAAACAGTAAATGCCAGAAGGGTTTTAATCTCAAATGGGATGATAGCTGTGGTAAATTACTGAACACTGTGGAAGCTGGAGGAGACACCTGAAAATTTAGCATTTGAATGTGTTGTGCTGCAGAGATACTGAAGGAGCTGTGGTATCTTTTGTTGGTAGTCTGTGTGTGTTCAGCATCAATTTATTTTGCTAAAAAGCCATTGGTGAGGTCTCTTTTGTTAGAGGTGGCAGAACAAAGCTGCCAGTTCATGTGGGGGCCCCTCTCCCCCAGGATGGTGTTTGTCCCCCTGTCACAGCAGCTGGGGCACCTGGGGCTCCTCCTGCACCTTCATGGGCACCAGGTGCCCCATTCTGCCCACATCACAGCTCCTTCTCCCCTTCACACGAGTTTAATCTGACCTGCAAGGTGATTTTTAGCTGTTTAGGACTTTGTGGGCTTGGCCCTTCCCTCAGTGATCCATGGGGGTTTCATCGTTGTGATCTGGTTGGGGGTCATGAAATGGATTGTTACAAACCTGTTGTGCTTCTGTGATCTTGTGTGAGTGAAGGACAAGCAGCCAGTCTTTTAACAACTCTCCTGTTAATTCCTGTCCTTACTCCTTGCTTGTTTGGAGATTTGCATTCAGCTCCCACTGAAGTTTCCTACTGTAGCAGTTAATTTCATTTTTTTAACACTTTTCCTACTGTAGCAGTTAATTTCATTTTTTAACCCATTTTTCTCTTTATCCCTAGGGTGTACTGGACAGATTTTCCCAAATTCAGCCCAAGCTCATCTTCTCTGTTGAAGCTGTCATATACAATGGCAAAGAGCACAACCACTTGGAGAAGCTGCTGAGGGTGGTAAAAGGTATTTCACTGCATCCCACCTGCTCTGTGGCCCTGTGAGCACTCAGAGCCTGCCCTGCCACTGCTTGTGCTGTCCTTCCTTCTTTGCAGTGTCACAGTGGCCACTGAGGCTTTCAGAACACATTTGGGTAAAAGCTGAACGGCCTTTTCTGTAATTTTGACATTCTTCTGCTTGCTTAACTTTAATAGATCATCAGGAATTAGCCAGCAGTGGGAGCAGGGCTGATGATGGTGTTTTTAAGCTCAAAGTGCTGCTGAAGATAAATGGGGAGGTATTACAGCATTAAGGCTTGCAGCTTTACACATAAAAGGCTGGCAGCATTGAGGAAATTACATCTTGGGTAACAATCCAGTCCTCTGGGGTTTCAATACTCAGTGCATCAGAATTACTTCTGTTACTTGGTGCATTACACTGTATGATTCAATCAGGCAGAACAGACCTTTGCTTATGTAACTGAATGTTAGAAATAATTTTCTTCTTTCTTCCAGGGCTTCCAGACCTAAAGAAAGTGGTGGTGATTCCATACGTGTCCTCAAGAGAAACCATAGATATTTCTAAGATTCCAAACAGGTAATGGGAGCACTGCTGGGTACAGAGGTGATCTTACACGTGTGCTGGGGTCATGCTTTCAGAAAGTTTTGAAATGTTCTTTTTTTTCCTCCTCCTTCTTATGCAGTGTCTTTTTAGAAGACTTCCTTGCCACTGGGAAAGGAGACCAGGCTCCCCAGCTGGAGTTTGAGCAGCTGCCTTTCAGCCATCCTCTCTTTATCATGTATTCCTCAGGCACCACAGGGGCACCAAAGTGCATGGTTCACTCAGCAGGGGTATGTCCTCCCTCCTGGGGCTTTGCTGCTTGCCTTACATTTTGCCTTTAACAGCATCACTCTGATATACTTTAAGGAAGAATTGATTGCTGATGGTTTTTCAGTAACTTGACAGTGAAGCTTTTTATTTGTTAGTGGCTATTTGAAAGCAAGTGTGGGTTGGTAAGGACAGTAAATACCTTGGATTAGAAATCAGTGTGGAGACCTTTCAGATTCCAGGTGTGTCCTAGGAGCAAGTGTCATTCACAAAAGCACCAGTGGAAGTGGCCTGACTGATATTTGAAGAAGAAAAGTCAAAGAATTTCAATTGGGTGTTTGCAACTGATTTTTGGATATGGTTGGCTTGCGGCCCATAGGGAGCTTGCAGTTTTTATTACCTGGATAATTTTTTACCTTCATGTTTATCAGTTTAGAGTATGTCATCCTCAGCAGTCCTCTAAGGAAGGAGAGTAGAGAGTTGGAATCTTGTTGAGTGTAGGTTTTGCATTTCATGGAAACTGCTTGAGGCAGTGTCTTGTGTATAATAATCAGATATTATAAAGATAATATCTGATATTGGTGCCAGAATGACCCTTGCTCAGGTGCTTTCCACTTGCTGTTGATGTTCCAAAGCTCTAGAAATAGAGGAAGTGAGTGCAGTAGTGCTGGAACTTTAATTCTGCTACAATCCTTGACAGAAGGCAGGTTTCCCCATGGAGGGCAGGCAGGGTGTGTTGTGCAGAGCATCTGTAGCAGTGTGTGTAAGTGGAACTGCACAGCTTTTAGCCAGTCCCCCGTTTGTGCTGTTTGCTCTGCCAGTCAGGGTGAGCCTCCTGCAGGCCTGGGTGGCCTGAGGGCAGGGTCCTTTGATGCTGTGCCCCAGTGTGGCTGTTCTTGCCTCCCTTTGATGGCAGGGATGGGAGGATTTGCCCCCAGACAAGTCCCCTGTGCTGTAAACACTCTGCTCTGTGTTATCAATCAGCAGGAGATCATAGCAGGCAGTGCCAAATGGGCCCTTTGGGACCCAAACCCAGTGCTTGGGAAGAAGAAAGGAGGTGGCTTTTGAAGCTTGACAGCTGTTTTGAAGCTGTGCTGGCTTCAGACTGGGTAAATACTTGCAGAGGTGGATTAGCAAAAACAGGACAGGTGTTTTGTTCAGTGATGGCTGATAAACAGTAGAGATGAGAAATAACTGTAGATCAGAAAATTGGAGTTTTCTCTTGCAAAGTTCTTTCTTTTCCCATGTTACCTGTTAGCTTGCCCTGAATCATGACTCTGCTCTCCAGCTGAATCGTGCAGAGCTACCTTAGAGTTTAGGTCCAGACTACTCATCCTTGCTGGGTGGATGGATGAGTAAGATCTATTGTTTGGGATGATTGTGTTTCCACTGAGCAGCTCTATAGTTGTGGTGCAGAATTATTTCGTTTTTTTTTTGTGGTGCTAGCACCTCTGGCTGAAAAGCAAATTGTTGAACTAGGGACCTCAGTGTTTGAATAGGGCCTACACAAAGTCCATGCAAATAAATTCTTAGATGTCTTTTAAACACTTGATTGGCTTTGTCTGTTTGTTCTGGGCTTAATCTTGTTTCCACTAGAATTAATAGGATGATTTGCATTGATTTGATTTTTAAAAAAAGCAGAATTAGCCTACTGTCTTTGTTTTATTTTCCAGCTTTAGTTTAAACCAAATGTGTTTCTGGTAGTGAAAACAGCAAGAAGAGATGACATTTTGGTGAAGACATTTCAATTATTGCTTATTTATAGTATGCTCCAATGCTGGTTTGTTACTGTACTGATTTTAGATGCCAACAGGCAGCTTAGTTTAAATTCACAACCCAGTTTCTCTAATTCTGCAGTAAGTTTCTGCTCTGTTTTCTTGCTACACAGTGAAATGACATCCATAAATAAAGAAAATGAAGCCAGGGCATGGGACATGATATAAAAATGATGGCTCAGAGGAGTAGGCTTTCTTTTTGATCCTGGAGGCAAAGCTTGTGTGGTTTTGGCCAGTTGGGTGTGCTGCAGAACAACATTAGTAATTGTTATTATTAAGTCCTAAAAACATTGGTGGTTCTTCTTGCTTCATCCTACCAGGCCCCTTTGCAGCAATTCCCTGCTCCCAGCTAACCAAGGAGAGAATTTAGAGCTCAGATCCTCTTCATTCACATCTGTGCATCTCAAGGGCTTGCAAGGGTTGTGTGTAAAGCTGTGCAGGGCTGCAGAGCCCTCAGGGCTGTTTGGTGCCCAGAGCCCAGCCCAGGAGTGTGGCAGTGCCCAGCCCTGCCCTGCCGGGGCTCTGCACAGCTGGGCTCACTCTCCAGATGTTCAGCCCCTCCCCAGCCTGGCCTGGCCCCCAGCAGCAGCAACACCCGGGAGTTGTATCAGCTGCCAGATCTGCTGTGAAGTGATAAATGCTCGGGGTTGTAAAAGTCCTGTGAATAAATGAATCCTATAAATTAACTCAAGAGAGCGTTCTGGGCTGAGTTTAGAGCAGCTCTGCCTTCTCCCACACCCTGAGAGGTACCAGGTTTTGCAGGGAAATTGTTCATAGCCTATACCTAAAACCATTCTCAAAAATCTCCTTTTGGTTCCAAGCTGTGAAGTAGCAAAAACAAAATGAAGGAAAAAGAAAACCAGTATTTATCTGAATTGAATATAACTTTTAATTTTGATGTTTTGTGTGGCTCTTTCAGAATCTCCTGCAGGAACAATGAGCTTTCCTTTATAAATGCAGTAATTATGTAAACACCTGCAATTCTTTTGGCAACCTTGCCGATTCAGTTGGACAGAGTTTCCAAATCCCGATTTTGGGCTGGTTTTCAGCTGTAGGAGAGGGCAGCTGTAGCTAGATGGCAGCGTTGTGACAGCTCAGGGTGTTCCAGCAGCAGTAGGTGAATTCAGACCTGCTTCCTTTGAGCAGTGAAGTGAAAATAAGATTTACTCCTTTATTTTTATTTAATGTTTTCTGCTTTTTCTCCCGAAGCATGTGCCAGTTTTATGACTCTCCTTTTTCATTTTGAATGTTTATCTGTAATCTGTTTTCTTTCAGTGTAAATCTTGTTTCATGCTTATGAGGCTCTTAATAGTTTCACTGTGACTCCTTGCATAAATGAAAAAAACATTTTTTATTTTAACATTGGCTACATTAATTTGTCACTGCAGTGAAGTGACTTAATGAAGTAGTCTGTAAATTTATTTATCCTAGCAAGTTGTGCTTTAATGATGATCAGGGAAGTGGTTTAGCTGCATTTCCAGCAACAGGAAATAATACATTTCAGGAGATTATTAATATTGATGCTCTGAGCAGTGAGACATTTCACATTTCTACTCACTCCTGTGTTTACAAGAGATCTGTGCTGTCAGCTCTTTTGTCTCCTAGATGTTAATAGATAAGATAATTTGGACACATGGTGCTAATGTTCAGCAGCTGCTGCAGTTCATGGCAGCTCTCAGTCCTCCACTCCTCCCGTTGCCCAAATTCACTGAAAATGAAGCTGTCCAAGGGCTCCTCTGGCAAAGCCTGGCTGCTGCAGGCCTGCTGCTCAAATGAGGGTCTGCATGGAGCACTGTGCACTGCTGGCTGTGTGCATTGGGAGGGAAGGGAGCTGTTTATTCCATGGATTAGCAGTGATGTGCAGTGGGAATTGCTGAGGTCTAATGAGACAGGCTGAAGAGTTATGTGAGAAAATGGAGAATGCACTTGCTGCTGCTGTTAGATAGGCCTGGGATTTACTTCAGTTGCAGTTGAGGGGAATGCTTGCTTTAATCCTGGAGTACATCCTGCAAGCTATTGACTGTTAGTGTTTTTTAAGTCTTAATGTGCTGTCAGAGTTTTGTTTTTCATTGATGTGATCTGATATTTCCCTTTCTTTTTGCAGGGTACCCTCATCCAGCACCTGAAGGAGCACATTCTTCATGGCAACATGAGCAGCAGTGATGTGATTATGTACTACACAACGGCAAGTGGGGCTTAGGGCATTTTTAGAAACACTGTAACATCTTTTTCCTGTAAAGATGGGACAACTTGTCGTACAAATCCACAAGTACACTTCTTTGTGTCTTAAATTATTTTGCTGCAAGGGGTTGCCCTGTCTGAGTTTAGAAAAGAAAATCAGGTGAAATAATAAAATGCAGCAGGGACCTTTCTGATGAAAGGTCAAACCCATGTTAAATGTTTCTGACCTAACTGCTGAGGAAAATGGATTGATTTTTAGTCTCTTAGGTTTATTGATCAAGCTGCCTCATCAATATCACCTGCAAATCAGATTCCACCTTCCTGCAGGGCTAGGTCATACTCAAGACAATAATTTATATCTCTGTTTTGTTTGTGAGGAGAGAAGCTGCCCAGCTCCAAACTTGATAAAGGAAAGGGGATAAACCTCACCTGTGTGGTGGGGGGGTTCTTTCTAATGCTGTGATCAAGCAGAATGATTGCTAAGCCTGGTGTGACTGTAGCAGTCTGAGAAGGCTGATGTGTTTCCTCATGAGCTCCCCTGTGAACTCTAACATGACTAGTCAGCTGGCAGAGTCTCCATGGAGGGATCATGGTAATTGCCTTGTCTCTGCCTTGTCCTGCCTCTGCTGTGAAGCTGTGTGTGCAGGGAGCCATGGGATCATCCCCAGCTCATGAGGTGTTTGCAGGGATCACTTGGATCAGCATCCATCCGAACATGCAGCTGGGGCAGGTGAGAGGATGAGCAGAGCTTCAGCCTAGTGCTGATGTGATCTGACAGAATCCCTGCTGTGGGTTTAACAGGAGCAATCCAGGCAGGGGCATGGAGGGGAAGGTGGCATCTCTTGCATGAGGGCAGGATGGAGCTTGGGTGCAGCTTCTGCCAGGATCTGCATCCTTGTGGAGCTGGTGCAGCTCCTGTGCCAGCTGACAGCGCTCACGGAGCTCCTTCTGTCCTGCAGACTGGCTGGATGATGTGGAACTGGCTGGTGTCTGCCCTTGCTACAGGAGCTTCAGTGGTGCTCTATGATGGATCTCCTCTGGTTCCTTCCCCAAACGTGCTCTGGGACCTGACTGACAGACTGGGGTATGTATGCAGGGTTAAAGACAGGCTGGTGGCACTGTCACCCTGTCACCCTGCCCCAGGCAGCCTCCCTGGGCAGGAGCTCGTGCACAGCATGACACAGTTTGTCTTTTGGCTCAGCCCTGGGTGGAACTGCTTTTGAAAATTTGTACTAAAACATTTTCTGAGAGAGGGGGAGAGACAAAGAGCTGATTGTTTCAAATTGGAGTCAGGTATTAGAATTCCAGGCAAACAAAGACTTTTGGTTCAATAGTTTTCAAGAGCAGCCTTTTCAAAAGGCAGTAATTGGGAGCAATCTGAAGAGTAATTTCTCAGCACACTCAGAACTTAGTAAATAAGAACTCTTTTACTCTTTTTTCAAGCAGCTCAACCTAAGATTTTAATACAGAACTTTGACTTAAAGACATAAATTGACTGGAAAGGCTCAGCAGGGCTGCTTATATTTTCATATTTTGCTTTTTAACCTATAATGCCTAATTCATACTGATAAGCTGTTCAGTAATTGTTTTTTGCCATTTTTTGTGCTTGAAAATGCTCACAGCACCCTTTCTTGAAGCTTAGAGAAATGGCAGGTAGCAGATAAACACCTCTAAACCCTGTGATTCCATTTTGCTTTGTACACTTTGTTAAACTTGGATTTTTTAAAATTTATTTTGTTACTTTCCTATTTTGCCAGCTGCATGTAAGGAGTAAATGTGAATTTTATGACCAGTAAAACGAGTGTCATTCTTAATTGATAATTAAAATTGTTTGTGGTGGAAAGTGGATGACAAAAGAGTCACTTTCTGACTCTGCATCATTAATAATTTAAACTTCACTGTCTTTTGTGACATGTAATATTTAAAGACTGACATTTTGTCTCTGGCCATTATAACTGAAGCTTAATGCCAAGTCCAAATGCTTCCAGTAAAAAGCACAAAAGAAACCCACAAACTTGAGCCATGCTTCACCCCCAAAGAAACCCTGGTGGAACAACAGGCAAAAAAATGAGAATTGAGAAAGAGCCCAGCTTATTTTTAAGCATTGTCTCCACATGCCAAGAGCAAGTGAAGATAAATGTGTCTGCATGTCTCACTTTTGTAATCTGGCGCTAAAAGCGGTGGCCATCTGGGTGCTACTTCATCATGCAGTCTGTTCCCAGCTCACTCATATGTTAAATATGTTAAAAAAAAAAAAGGCTCCAACATGTGAAGATTACCTTCTCCTCTGAAGATGCAGCACAGTTTCCTTCAGAGAGCATATTCGGAGGGGATCATGGGGATATCTCATCCTGCGCGGCAGGAATGACTCAAGTGGACAGCCATTAGTGACTGGGGTTGGGGGATGGTGACTAAAGGCACTTATGTGGCATTTGCAAGGAAATAAAGGGAGATTTGGCTCTACATGTGCTGTAGAGGAAGTGTCAAAGAGCTTAAAATAGAGAAGCATTTTGTATTCTAATGTAAAATAAGCACTGGTTTGAGGCATGGAAGGAAAGTGAGATGTTACACAAGAGTAAAAATAGTTCATAGGATTGGCACAGAGGGGAGCTGAGGAGCACTGGGCTGGGGCTCTCATGCTGGAAGGTTCCCTGCCCATGGCAGGGGCTGGAACTAGATGATCTCCAGGCTTCCTTCCAGTCCAAACCATTCTGTATTCCCTCAAAATGTGCCTGGCAAATTGCTCTGTGCCCTGATGTGTTTGTGCAAGGAGCCTGATCCTACCTCAGGGGAGTCTCCCACCAGCATGGCAAGGGGAGAGATCCCATTTGGCAGTGTTGAAATATCCCCTTCTCCTTGCCTGGAGCAGTGTCCTGCCTGCCACCCTGCCTTTGGAGGAGAACCCAGCCCAGCAGGATCTTATTCCAGCTCTGCTGGTGTTGGTCCTGCCCATGCTCTGTGCTGTGTCCCTTATCCTCACCTAGCTCTGCATTTTCTTGAGTGAGTTTATGGCTGTAATGTAAAAGGAATCAGCAGAAACCAGGTTTTAATTCTGTTGTATTGAAGAGCTCTAAATACCCTTTGCAAGGGCAGGAGGGAGTTGTTCAGCTGGGCCAAATTTCCTGTTCATTTAGGCATGGGCAGCTCAGGCTTTCACCACTGAGAACTGAACAGGTTTCACCAGAAAATCACTGGTTGCTATCCCAGAGTAATTTTTTTGTCAAACTGTGCCTTGAAATGGCAAAGTTTCCCTGTACCAAGGCACTCTTGGAAAATTATGGCCCATTAATAAAGTAAACATGATAACATTTTGTGATGTCTTTGGAGTGTTCTGCAGTTACAAATTCCTGTAAATGTAAGTGAATGTCTCTGGGAGATGGGGAAGCTTTGCTTAATATTTAAAGATAGAGTTAAAAGTTTCAAAGCTGCAGAGATGACATTTGATCTGACTGATTCTGATAGTTCAAAAGGATGTGCCTTGCACTTGGAAAGCTCTGAGAGGCTGCATTGTTTGTCTAATCCACGTACAGAGTGTGTAACAGCCTCTGCTCACTGCAGTGGGAATTGCAGATCTTTAGAATCTTAGCATATTTAAATATGCAAAACATGTAAACTTCTCTTCCCTCTAGGATCACCATCCTTGGAACGGGTGCAAAGTGGCTGGCTGTGCTAGAAGAGAAAAATTTAAAACCATGTAAGCCTCAAAAAGCTGGCGAATCCCTTCTGTCCTCCCTCCTACCTTTCCTCTCCTGGTTCTGGCTCCCTGTCTTGTCACAGCCCTTTATGTAATTATTCTGGGTTGTAGTGACAAACAGTTCCAAACACTTGGAGAAATTCTGCCTTAACCTGTGCTGCTTTTCTCCTCTTTAAGGTGAAACACACAATCTGCAAACACTCCACACTATCCTGTCTACAGGATCACCTCTCAAATCTCAAAGCTATGAGTATGTCTACAAACACATAAAAAGCAGTGTCCTCCTGGGATCCATTTCAGGTGAGGCTTTTATGCTGCAGCATCTCAGCAATGCTCTGATTGCCTGTGCAGCTCCCTCCTGCTTGCTTGGGAAGCTTTGGATCATTTGGGATTGGTTAGAGTTAAAGTGGAATGAGCTGTCTCTTTAGTGCTGAGGTTTTCTGCATAATTCACTGTGCCATAATGAAACTCAGGCACTCCAAAGTGGTTTTGGTGGATGTTTTGGATTTTAAGTATGATCATTTATTTTGACTGGCTGTCCTTAGGGGTGGCAGGGTGAGATCAAGCAAAGAGTCTATTAACCTACAGAACACACTGTTCTGCATATAGCTGACTTTAGCAGAAAATACCTCTTGGAGAGTTCCCATTTCAGTTCTTTTGTGCCAAGTAATTGGCACTGCAGATGGATTTTTTTTGTGGATTATATAATTAGAGAAATATCAAGCCCCCATGCTGTGCAGTTTGTTGTGAGCAGTGCGGGCTGAGGCAACTTCTGCTCACATAAGGTCCACCACAGCACTCCTCATTTTGCTTTGTGACAAGGACTGACTTTTTCAAAGAGCTTTTTAACTCAGTTTGGTTTTTAAAATGTGACTATTCTGCTACTGAAGTTATCTCAGACTCTGGGCTCAGTAAGAGTAGTGCTGAATCCAGAACTTGCTACTACAGACATTAATAGACTCCAATGCAGAAGCCTATTTTTGAGAAAAGATAACATGATTGATTTGTGTCTTAATTCTCTTCCATAAAGTCCTAGAAAGACTATAAATATTCCAGTTAAGTAAGCACTTTGACAGTATCTATTTTCTTAAGATAACTGTTCCTCCTGAAGGCCTGGCTCCCCTCCTCCCATGCTGATAAAGGTATAAAAGCTAAGTAAATGTAGCTTGACTGGTTATTTTAAACTAATGAAAACAAACAAGAAAACATTTCTAAGTAATTCTGTAAATGTCTGAAGTCTGTAAAGCAGGCCCTGTTTGTTTTCTCTCTCCTATAAATGGAAATTTCCTTAAATGAGATTAAAGACACTGTTGGAAGGAGAAAAGTTTTGCCTTAAGGGATAGCTCTGCATGAAAGGCATACACACATAACAAGATATATAAAGTAAGGAAGAAAACCTTTTAATAAAAGTCACAACATGCTAGATAATGCTGTTTGTTCTGTGCTGCTTAGTGTGGATCAGAAGCCTTTGGCAAAGGTTGGCAGTTGGCTGTTCCTGTTCCTATGTAGTTTTCAGGTTGGCTTTTCCCAAAAATTACTGTATATTCTAAATGGATTTCTTTTATTGTAGGTGGAACAGATATAATTTCATGTTTCATGGGTCACAATGTTACAGTTCCTGTTTACAAAGGAGAAATTCAGGCCAGAAATCTTGGCATGGCAGTGGAAGCATGGAATGATGAAGGTAACTATGATCCAGAATACTGTGCACACTTTGAAAATACAGTAGCAAGGTGATCTTAACTTTAACAACAAGTAGTAAGTGTAGATGCTCTTTGCTTTGGTGCTCTGTTATTTACAGAAAGGAAATGTGGAAAATCTCTTTTTCATCAACAGGAAAACCAGTTTGGGGTGAAAGTGGAGAGCTGGTTTGCACCAAGCCCATTCCCTGCCAGCCCACACACTTCTGGAACGATGAGAATGGCAGCAAATACAGAAAAGCTTATTTTTCCAAATTCCCAGGTATGTTCTGAAGGCCTTTGGAGGCTGTGAGGGAAGGCACAGGTTCATTTGCTGCTGCCCAGTGACAGCCACAGGGGCAGCTTTGAGTCCCAGTTTGCAGGGTGAGCTACTTCATAACACCTCATGTTTTCTCATGCTTTGTTGTGACCAGAGATCCAAATAAAAGCTGTAAGGATCTCTGCCAAGCTCCAGTGCAGTTTGGCTGCAGCTGTGCCTGTCCCAGGCTGCAGTGCAGGCACAGGTGTGAGCTGGAAGGAGTGAACATGGCAGGGAGCAATCAGTGAGTGCTGCTGCACCTCTGCCAGGCTGCTCCTGCCTGCCTGGAGGGGTCAATCCCAAGAGAAAACTGCTGACCTGCTGCCTCATTAGCATGAGGATTAAATAGATATTAAATATTTGCTGCCTCAGACATGCAGCCTTGGCCTTCTATGGGATAAAGTGGACCAGAGGTTTTTCTGAGTAATTGTGGAGGACTCTGCTCATCCTGCTGTGGCACAGCAATGCCAAACCCCTGGTGCCTCTGGGGCAGGGATTTTTTCAGAGCATGATCTCCAGCTGCTGTTTTTTGGATGTGGGAACTTTTTTTTTTAAAATAAATAGCAACAGTACAGACTGGATTCACAAGAAAAGTCAGGATGTGCAGCAGGAGATAACCACACAGGAAACCTGAGGACTGTGAAAGTTGCAGTCTGCATGTAAGCCTGACAGCAGTAAACAGAAAAGAAAATAATCAGTGTGGCAGTTTTAAGACTGTAATCACTGAGGGTCTGTCTGCACCCCTTTTCTGTCTTTCCTTGTAAATGGGCTTGAGATGGTAACAACTATGTTGGAAAATGGTCTTAGGTGCAAATAATTGAGATTGGTGTTTTTCCTCAGAAAAACTTGAGTAGAATTGGGTTTTACTTCTGGTTTTGGCAGGCTGCTGTGGCAGTATCAATCTTAAATAATACTGAAAAGTCAAACCTGATTTTGCATTAAGACAAATAAAGAACAGTAAGCACAGATGCTCCCTAGGGAATTGTTGATACCTATTACACAAGCCCAGAAAACTTCTTATACAGAATTGTGCATTATAAAAAAATGGATCAAGAAAGACAATGAAAGGAGGTGGGAATGTTGTTACTTCTGTGGAAGAGGCTTCCAGTAATTCAAAATGAGGTGTTCAGAGCTGGTTTTGTAAGGAATGCTGTGTAGTGATTCAAACAAGCCATCAGATGATAACCTGGGGCTTGATCCTGATTTCTGAGCTGCTCCTGGGTGTGCTGGTTCTCACAGTAACTGTGGTGTGGATTGTTGGTGTATTTCTGTGTGTTTCACTCAGAATATCAGCTGTATCTCTGTGTGTTTCACTCAGAATATCAGCTCTATCTCTGTGTGTTTCACTCAGAATATCAGCTCTGTCTCTGTGTGTTTCACTGAGAATATCAGCTGTATCTCTGTGTGTTTCACTCAGAATATCAGCTGTATCTCTGTGTGTTTCACTCAGAATATCAGCT